GCGTTATGCAAATCTTCCCACACAGTGACGTAGACATGTGGTGGGCGTGTTTAAACGAGGCGTTTACTTTCATAAAGAATATCTCTTTGGGTTTGAGACTTTAGTCTTTGCAACTTTAGGGATCTTATCTATGCACGAACAGCTTGTAACACTCCAAAGAGAAAGGAAAACTTGAAATTGCATCATATGACCCCTTTAATATCAGAAACCGTCCATCAAACAATAACTAAACATGGTTGTCTACATCTAGAGTATTTGTACAGGCGTGTTTCATTTGTGAACGAATCATCTTATTAATTTCCTCATATTTCCTTCACTGAAGTCTCTTTTTCCCTTTTGAAGCATGTGATTACTTTGTTGGCTTTTCTTCCTTTTAAGACCCACTAAATGAACAACTCGCCCTTCACTGAATGATTCACTGAGTCTAAACAAGACATTTAATTCCTGAATGAACTAGGCATCTTGTTTTTTGAAATATCTAATAATCAGTTCCACAGTCTGCAGTGGTTTTGACTTCTGTGTCTATGCAAGGTGATTTTAAAGAGATAGTTCACCTCACTCTCATATTGTATGACTTTATTTCTTCAAAATATCTTCTTTTGTGTTCTGCAGAAGAAGAAAAAAACATTCAGGTTTGGAACAACATGAGGGTGAATAAATGATGACAGAATTGACGTTTTTGTCTGAATTATCCCTTTAACACCAGTCTGGATTCTGAATATTCCAGATGTTGTCTTTGTGAAGCCTGCCATTGGTTTGATTTTCAGAGGGAGACTTACTTTACAATGAAAATGATGTGTGGGAGGCATGTTTTGCACTACTTTATGTTTTGTGCCGACTTCATCATTTTATCTGCATACTTTTATCAAGCACAAAATATAATTGTGACTTTATACCTCAATTTATGCATTTATGTGACTTCTTTTTCCCATAATTGTGACTTTATTTCACAGTGTGACTCAAACTTAATTTCACAGTTACAGTACTTTTTTAATCTGCTGTGAGGCAGAAACAGGTTTCAGAATCCTGTGTTGTGAGCAAACATCACTAACGGTTATCTTGAGGCTGCCAATTTCTTCAGTCAGTTATGCATTTTATAGTTTCACATAATTTGCATACATAATTTTGACTCTAGTCCACCTGTTAATATAGGCCTATCTTCTGAGCTTCCAGTAAAAGTATATGGAAATCTGGAGAAAAGCTCACTTATTTGTATCAGGAAAGTGTGGGTTTTGTTTCCCATTGCAACCAGTTACATTTCCTAAAACCTTTCTATTATTCCATTTCTTAACTTACGGGCTGACTTGTAAGGAGTTGTTCACTCTCATTGTTATTCTTCACTGTCAGTGCTTTCATAAATCATCTACATGGAGGAAAATGTATCAACACAATGTTCTTGATGAGGAGGTGAGGTCAATATTTCAGCTCATGTTGAGCGGCAGCTTCTAAATTTCATGCAGGTTCCGATCTTTCCCTCTGCTGAAGGAAAGGGCACTTCCATTTCCCTGAAGTCCTGATCTGTCATCACTCCCCCATCCTGCTCCACACACCAAGCGCAGCTGATAAGATTCACTGTAGATAATACGAGCTTAATGCATTAATGGTGCTGCTGAATGTTTATATGAGCTTGCCCCATCTTGATGTCAACCGCTGGCTGCCTCTAATGTGCCGACTTTGCTGCTAGCAGTAGCTTACGACAGGACTGATTAGCAGTGAGCTTCAGCGGGGAATACCCAGACATCCTCCGGGAGCTCTGTCACGCTAGGTAGGAGGGTGATTAATTAAGGCCTGTTGTTTTCTGTTTTGGGCTTTAAATGTAGATCGATAGCCCATATTGTTACTTCTATGCGAGCCACAGATAGGCCTATGTCATATTAACTTACAGCCAGCTGAGTTTATTTGCAGAGCTGACGTGATCTTTAGCTGCTTAATGTATCCACCATGGAACATTTATCGTGGGAAAGTGCGTAAACTGAAACATTTCTAACATTGGTGCGAATCAAGCTATCAATTTCAGTTCTGATACATTATCGCTTTAGATAAGACAACATGTACCCATTTTTGCTCTCCTAAAAAAAAACAACCTGCAATAGCAAACTTGTAAACCGCCTTCTTCAAAGTATTTTTTTTATTAATAACAAACATATTGCACATCAATTTCAAGAACAATTACAAGAAAATACCAATAAAAAAATTCCTAGGGCTCTTTGTTGTTTATAAATCAAATGGATTTTAGAAGGAGTCTAATTAATTTTTATTATAGGGTAAAGATGGGATACAAATTGAAAACTTATTCAGCATATATAATCTAAAATTTGATAATACACTCCAGGGGTTTATTTAAAAAAAAAAATAGTGTGTAGCCTAATACTGGCGGAATCATCAAATATATGAAAACCAACAAGCGGAAAACTGGCGGCATTGCGTCAGGTAGCCCCGCCCACACTGAAATCTCATTGGACCAATTAGCATCAAACATGGATGGGGACATGTTGATTGATTGTAGATGTTTAGAATGGGATTTTCTGTGACAAAATCTTAAAGTTACAAAAGGCTACTATTAATACTATTAATAAGCTACTATTAAAATCACTGCTAAATACGTTGCGAAAATACAAGGTATGTGTTTTAATGTTTAACTTTAAAAGGATAGTTCACCCAAAAATGAAAATTAGCTCATTATTTACTCACCCTCAAGCCATCCTAGGCGTATATGACTTCCTTCTTTCAGATGAATCCAGTCGGAGTTATACTAAAAATTGACTTTGATCTTCCAAGCTGTTTAATGGCACTCAGCGGGTGTTGCAGTTCATCAGTCCAAAAGAAGTGAAATAAAGCGCATCCATCCATAATAAAAAGTGCCTCACACAGCTCAGCTGAACAAAGTATTTTTTGTAGCAAATGTAACAAATCGATGTGTTTTTGTAAGAAAAATATCCATATTCAAAACGTAATAATCACTTTAATCTAGCCTGTGCCAACAGTTGTACACAAAAGCAGCTCTGGGAGGATGACGTAAGATGTCGGCGTTGCGCATGCGCCGGTGAGTCTCGTGAAAACCAACGTTTGTTTACAGGAGCAAAGGAAGCAAAGTTTCCTTACTTTAGCAAAGGAAAACCAGTCTCCTCTTGGCTTATATCGAAATCTTCGTTTTGTACTTCGAATTCGTGACCGTTGTTTTGTTTTGATCTCTCCCCTTCACTTCAGGATTCGTCACTTCTCTTTAACGGTCTTCAGCAGCAGCATGTTGTGAGTTCGAGAAAGCGCCAAACAGAGTGAAACTGTTCTGATTGGCTGTGTTATTGTGATTGATTGCGTCGCGCCACGCCCCATTCTCGAGTTTGGCCAGGTGTCCTGACATTTTATCCTACCCATCAGATTGTCCTACCAGGGCTAACTGCGCATGTGCACATCAATATTGCGTCTTTTTTTCTCACGCTGAACAACAATAATTACTGTATTTGCATTACTGTAAGGGGTAGGTTTAGGGTTGTGAAGGTGTAGACAGTAATAAAACACAATCTAATAGGTAGAACAATTTATTTATTGTTAGTTTCCGGCCATAGCTGTATCCCTTCGAGCCATAACCCTGAACAACACATAATCCTGTAAGGATAGGTTTAGGGTTGGGGTAGGTGTAGACTTTAATAAACGATAATTTGACAGGTAGCATTTTTCATTGTCGAATTGTACTACCTACTGTTTTAATGGGAGGTAGCAAAATCTGACAGGGTAGCAGCACAAATCGACAGAACCGCTTGCCGCTGGAGTCTCTTTGCGTCACTCCTGTTAAGGAACATGCTGTGATAATTGTGATGATTTTGTTAACATATATTATCGACTTAATGTGAATTTTATGCCATCAGCTCAGCATACATTTTCTTGCTTAATAATTGCATAAAATGTCAATAAATGAGAGGAATGTTTCAATAAGGCTAATTGTGTAGATGTGGATGCGCAGATGACACTAAAGCCAAGCTAAGCTGCCAGAACCAATACTTGTAATCAGTGCACATGAGACTGCAGGTGTCAACAAGGGATTGTCCTCCCTTCCTGTTATTTCTTCCCAAGTCTAACCACTCAAACATAGCCTGTGGCATGAAATATTTAGGTAGTCTTTTTATAGTTATAGCCCCAACTTACCATCTGTCTGTGTCTAAAGAATTATTATCTAACCATATAATCATAGTATTTTGCAAATGTGCATCAACTGCTCTTTTAATTCTTTAGTAGGACTATTTTGGATTTGAGCCTTTGGAATAACAATCATATTATCATAATAATAATTTCATGACATCATCATACTTTGTCTGCTATGAAGTCTATTAAGTGGGTTTTTTTTTTCGTTTTCTTTTTTTCAAAATTGTCCTGCTTTCACTTTCACTCTGCTTCCAGTGCCTCAGGGCATTGCACTCGGAATCTGACATATAAGTGATCATTTGTTTCCTCTTTCAAGCTACACCAGCTTCTGAGCATCTCATGACCAGCATGTGGGTTTGTGTTACAGATAAGGGCTTCATTTTCCACTGCCCTTGGCTATGGATCACCCACACTGACGTGTTTGTGTTCAGATCTTCCTTAAGTTATGGTATAAAACCATAAATACAAAAAGACATTTCTAATAACTTTTTTTAACCTTTTGTCCTTTTTTATCATGAATACCTGCATTGGCTCAATATACTTTAAAAAAACAAAGTATGTAAGCCTGTTTCTTGAAAGAAAAAAAAAAGTAAAATAAATAATAGGCCTTTTTTCTTAGAATTCTGAGTTTATATCTCATAATTCTAGTATTATGTCTCACAATTATGACTTTTTTCCCCCTAAGAATTGTGAGAT